CATTTGCTGGCTCACCTTGCAATTTTATGTTCCGGAGAAGTCTTTCCTTAAACCTCATGAGCTAGCCTCTGCCAGCTTCAGACAAATTCTCAGCATCCTCACCTTTCTCAGCCTTCCTAGAATTGAAGAGAGTTAGGGCCTCGCTCTAGATTAGGCTTTGGCTTCAGGGAATGTTGTGGCTGGCTTGATCCTCTATCTGGACCACTCAGACTTTCTTCATCTCAGCAATAAAACTGTTTGGCTTTACCGTTCGTATGTCTGCTCGGTTTTAATTTTCTTCAATAACTTTACTTTTGCATTCACAACTTAGCTGTGTGGCACAAGAGACCTAGGCTTGTTTCGGCTTTTGACATGCTTTTCTCACTAAGGGTAATGTATTCTGGCTTTTGATTTAAAGTGAGAGACATGCAACTCTTCCTTTCACTTGAACACTTAGAGGCCATTGTAGGATTATTAGTTTAGCCAAATTTCAATATTCTTGCATCTCTGGGAATAGGGAGGGAGATGGGGGAATGGCCAGGCAGTGAAGCAGTCAGAACACACATAACATTTATCCTTTGAGTTTGCCATCTTATATGGGTGCAGTTCGTGGCACCCCAAAACAATTAAAATAGTAACACCAAAGATCACTGATAACACAAACATAAAAATAATGAAAAGTTGAAAGTATTGTGAGAATTACCAAAATGTGACACAGAAACATGAATGAGCAAATGCTATTGGAAGAGTGGTGCCAACAGACTTGCTTGACACAGGGTTGCCACAAACCTTGCATTTGTAAAACACAATATCTGCGAAGCACAATGAAGTGAGATGCAATAACATGAGGTATGACTGTAGTTTATTCAGATACTAATGACAGCTGATTGAATATTTGTGTTAACCTCTTACCTTTTTGTTATAAAGTGAACCAAGCTGTAAAATTTTAGGCATCTCTAAAATCTCTGTTTTCTCAGTTTATGAGAAGAAACTGAGTTTTGGTAAAATAGTTCGTATGCTTTCAGGATAAAATATCTCTTATTCAGCAGAACAAACAGCAGCCATTTTTGGTAAAAGGAACATTCCTAACCCTTACCCAGAAGAAAACCAACTTGTTTATCATATCACATTTGTCACATGGATATTTGTTTAAAGAGCCTTGTTTTCTACGCAATTTCTACAAGTGTTTTCTACTTTTGTCCTTTCATTTTCATCATCCTTGATGAAAAGGAGTTTATTCAGATGGAAAAACAAGCCTCTCTATACTTTCAAATGTTAGTTTTGATGTGGTATTTAATAAAAGTGTTTACGTTTTTTAAAACATAGACAATTGACTTTCCCTTGCTGCAGTAGGTAAAGGATACCTAAACCAGCAAGAAATATTCTCACACAATGGCATATTATTTCATCTCGAAACAGGAATGAGGCTCCGACACGTGCTACAAGGTGGGTGAGCACTGAAGTCATTGTGCTGTGAAAGAAGTGAGACAGAGAAGCACAAATACCCTGTTTCCGTCTCTATTCTATAGAGCTGTACACAAAATAGACAAAGAGACACAAAGTAGAATTGAGATTACCAGGGGCTGGAAGGAAGGGTGAAGGGAGTTGTTGTTGTTGTTTTTTTAAATGGGTACCTTAAAGTTTTTTGTTCTTTTTTTTTTTTAAAGATTTTATTTATTTATTTGACAGAGATCACAGGTAGGTAGAGAGGCAGGCAGAGAGAGAGAGGAGGAAGCAGGCTCCTTGCTGAGCAGAGAGCCCGATGCGGGGCTCGATCCCAAGACCCTGAGATCATGACCTGAGCCGAAGGCAGAGGCTTAACCCTCTGAGCCACCCAGGTGCCCCAGGTACCTTAAAGTTTTTTGGTGGGGATGATGATGAAAAATTATAGTGGTGACTGGAAGCATAACTTTGTAAATATATTTAATGTCACAGAATTGTACAATTACAAATGGTTTAAATGATAAATGTTATGTATAGTTTGAGACAATGAAAAACATTTTGAAAAAGAAGATAAGAATTCTGCCAAGATCTTACAACTGAGGAGCAGAAAGTTCCGGCTTCTATTACTGGGCCTGATGTCTGAATATGTGCTGGTTCAGCAAATTCAGAAAGTTCCTGTGTGGGCTCCTTTCATCCATTTGGTTCATTCCATTGATAAATATTTATTTAAAAATAAAAAGTCACGGTATGTCATTTAGACTGAGGATTGGAAAGGTGAGTAAGGGAGCCTGTGGGACTGGGAAAATAGCCATTTCACATATGATTAAAATACTGTGGAAAGGCTGCAGTAGAAATACAGTGAATAGTGGTGGGAACTTTGGAGAGGAGGTTCCTGAGGGGATCAGGGCTTCATAGAAGAGTCTATAATTTTTCTGGGTTTGAACTTTGTGAAGGAATTGGTTGCTTTTATTTTGGTAATGGTATTTTGGTATTTTGTAATATATTTGTATATTTGATATTTTGGTAATAGGCAGTACATGATCACTCATGATTTTATGCCTTGGAATCTTGGATCTAAGATATTTGCAGGTTTTTCAAATATTTCGTGACTTTTTCCCCTAAGGGTACCAGCACACTGGTTCCTGGAGGTGTGAAGACATGTTGGTTTGTTCTCTGTTCTGTTTTTTAAAAATTATAAGCAAAACGACTTTGAGAAATAATTCAAAGTAAATGAGACACATTCAGATCTCTCAAAGAGCTTAGAATCTAATAGGGAGATAAGGTGGAGACAGCTGGGTGGTAAGGGTCTTAAACAGTCAACGTGGGATAGCTGTGCAGGGGCTGGAGAAGCGACTTCATGGGGGAGGGAGAAAAGCATGGTGGGGGAGGGGGAGCATCTTTGCACTTACCCCTTAAGGCTTTGTAGAACTGTGGTAACTAGATACGAAGAAGGTAATTTTATTTGGATAGAAAGATAGGAACAAAGCAGAAAGGCAGCAAATACTTAGTCCTATTCAGGGAAGCAGTAAAAAACAAGCCAGAAAGGCCCTTTGGTGCCAGGTTATGAGGATCTCCAAACTTTCAATGTTCTGCTTATTCTAGGAGTCTAGGAACCATGATTTGTTACTGGTAGATTTGGAAGAGAAAGGCTAGCATCTTCACACCCATTCTCATGTACATGGGATGGCGGAGAAAAAGGAGAGCAAAAGCGGTGATCCAGAAGCCCTGGATGAACACTGGGCTCCTGGGAGGGGTGGGAATACATTGAACTAGAAACATGACACAGTGAGAAGAACATCTTTGGAGTCAGTCAGCTGTGGGTTCAAATCTACACAGTAATCAGCATTTACTGTGTAGACTTTGCCAGATTACTCAGAACTGCTGAGCCTCGTTCTCCTTGTGTGACAAATGGGGATACTGGTGTCTTTATGTAGGATTGTCCTGAGGGTTCAAGATAATGGGGCGACACACATACGTAGACTCCACATGGCCTCAGGTGATCCCTAGGGTACCTTCTGAATCTGAATGTAAAATAAATTTAAAAGTTTTTCCTGCAAATATAACTTACTTCCGTAATTGAAGTTACATTTTAACTCATATATTTCTAGACAATTAATATAATGAATTTCAAGTAGCAATAAAACCACCACAGCCAAAACAGATTCCCCTGGTACAGAAAATTTTCTCTGGGAATTACTCAAATATTTTGAAAGCTGTGTTAACTATTTCAATCCTATACGTTACCATTTCCACCTCAGAACGGTGTGTTTACAGAATGGTGTTCTTTCCGCAGATCTAATCTAAGGTCCGTTTAATTCCTTTTCCTGATCCGAGCTCTGAGTTAGGGTTTTACTCTGTGAATTGTATCCTGCTAAAGTGACTACAGGCACTACTTGAAAGTGTGAATGCACATTTGAAAACCTCTCCCGTGCTTTCCATTAGAAATAGTCTATATTGTGGTACCTTGTATCTCTACTAGATTTTAACTAGCCAGATTATGGAAATATTTTTCTTCTAATTATTCTTCAGGCAAACCTCTTAGGTTTTGTGTTTGATGATGTTTGTATGTGAGGTCATCTCCTTGCTGATGGTTGTATCCTTATTTGTGTGTCCTGACCTAGAGATAAACATGTCAGGATGATGATAGCGGTAGGAATTGGTAGATGGTATTGGAAAGGCCTCTAGTGTTTCAGTATTTAATATGATATTGACATTTAGCTTGAATCCCATAGCACCCTGTTCTATCTTTCCAGTAACCTGGCTCATATTATGTAGAAACCTTTGGGAAAATGTCTTTTTCCTGTTGAACTCTGAGCTCATGAAGGACAGGGTCTTTCTTACTCATATCCGTATTCACAGGATTAGCACTGAGCCTGAACAAAACATGCAGGTATTCATGGGAAGCATGACTAATTTATCAGGGCTCAATAAAAAGATCCTGAAGACAATAATTTCCTATGTAATAGAAAATTATGAACATATTTTCAGAATTTTGAAGAAGATCACTATTGAGTAATCTTCCTAAAAAAAAGTTTCATTTAAAATTAATATCTTGAATACTTATCTTTTTTGTGATTCTTATATAAGAAAGCAGGAAGGAGATACAGTTTAAAGCTCTATCCTACTTGTAATTAAATAGTGAAAGCCCAAATTCTGACTAAACTGTTGACTCAAGTGTGAATTCTTTAATTCCTTTTCTAACTTGTATGTTTTCCAGAGAACATACAAATAAATACATCCGGGAATTAATATTAACTAATTGGCTCTTTTGTACTTGCCTTGCAGACAAAAAACAAAGGTAATATTTATATTGATTGTATTTCGATTGAGTTGTTGGTATTTTAAAATGCTGTGTACCCTAATGCTGTATAATCCTCTTGTCTTGGTACTTCCCACCTTAGTTTTTATAGATTTCTGCTTGAAATAATGTTTTGTCTCAACGTCCTTCATGTAGACAATCATTTAAATATGGTGGGATATGAGATGGAACTGAATAATGGTGAAGAAAGGTATATCAAAGAATAACTTGCAAAACCTTTATGGCAGAAGTCATTTATTGAAAAAAATTAATATCTTTGCTATAAAATTTGTAACAGGAATATTTACTGAATGTTTATTTTGATGCATAAACCTGAATATTACATACCAAGTACAAGACAGCAGCACTAGCTTTCCTTTATTTACATTTTATGAAAATCGTTACGCAGTCCATGTTAAAAGAACTTATGATGGAGAATTGTTACATTAGAAAAATAATATTCTTGATAAAGCATTCTCAAGGAGTCCAAGGAGTCCAATCACATTTTCTGCCTCTTCAGTAAGGCAAAAGTCCCTGGAATAGCATATAACTTAATTTACAAAATACAATAAATGTTCAGACACATATTCAAGTTTCCTTTTGGTATGATTTTTCCTCACTGTAAAATTACTTCTTATTTTTATTTTTGTTTTTATTTTTTTACTAAAACAAAGACTTTCAGGAAAATGTCATTGAATGATTTCAGCTATACATTACATATACAACTGTGCAGCCTAGCGACAACCATTGCTACACCGTCATTAACTTTAAATATTTTGCTGGGTGAGCTATTCTCAAATGTATCATATTTTAAGATTTTGCCTTCATTATGACTGTGGAATCGTTGGTTTTCATAGGAAACAGATCTGTCACAGTATGAAGCTTTGTTTTAGGGAACTGGTACACAAGCACATTTCCACTCACAGGAGAACGCCACAGATGTAACTGAAGTCGGGCCCCGACGGCTCCACAGGGGCCCCAGGCCGGACCATCCCCAGCCTCCAGTGCTCACACTGCACAGCCCTGGCCCTGTCAGGCGCCTTTGTTTCCAGAGACTTGCCAGCTCTTCACAGTTAGGTCGTTTTAATTCCTTCAAAGGCACACAGCTTCCACCTTTTTTCCAGTGTTGCTCCCACGCCCGTGAATTCCTGTTTAAACATGCGTGGCAGCCTCATCAGAAGCATCTCAATTTCGTTTGCAGATATCTGTTAGAAAGGAAGAAAAGTCACTTTTGGAGACAAGACTCCTCAGGAGGCAAGGGGTTGGGTAGGGATGCACTTGCCCAGGGAGATAAATGATATGACTTGACTGTCAAGTCATGTGCTTGGGAGAGGAGCGCTGGTCAGGGGCTGGATGGGGCTGTCCTGGTCTCCAACAGCTGGCAGGGCTGGGCAGGAGATGGGGTGCAAATCTGAGGCTCACCGTTCCTGTGCATGGCTAGCCTACTGGGTAGTGTCATGCGTGAACAGCACTCCCCACCCTGATGTAAAAGGATATAAGAATGGGATTTAAGAGGGCTGAGAGCAAGTTCATCACCACTCCTGGTGCCCCCATCCTCTTCAAAAAGGACAGCGCTTTTAGCTAACTCAGTGAGGGCCAGTGGGCATCTGGGTAGATTTCTGGCCACCCTAACTTCTCTTTCTTTAATTTTCACAGAGACCAGAAGATCATACAGGTTTAGAAAGAAATGAAAACCCAGAACCTACAACCTGAAAGTCTCAACATCCATTCTTAAAGTTCAGGTAGTTTTTTAAAAAAATTTTTAGGTTTTATTTAAGTAATCTCTACACCCCATATAGGGCTTGAACTTGGAACCCTGAGATCAAGAGTTACATGCTTTTCTGACTAACCAGCCAGCACCCTTCCAGGTAGTTCTTTATTTCTTCTTTTAAATTAAAAAAAATTATTTGAAGATTTTATCTACTTATTTGAGAGAGAAAGATAGCCAAAGAGAGCACTGACTGGGGAAGAGGGGGAAAAGCAGGCTCTCTGCTGACCGGGGAGCCCAGTGTGGGACTTGATCCCAGGACCCTGGGATCATGACCCCAGCCAAAGGCAGATGCTTAACCGACTAAGCCACCCAGGAACTCCTGTCCCCACCCCAGTAGATTTTTAATGCAGTTTTTTTCTTCCACCAGTTTTTCTTTATTACATACATTTTTATACCACTAATTCATTTTACCTTAAATAAAGGGCAAATAGCCATAATCCTTCTGATTTAACAGTCATTGTTCTCGTCTTCCTGTCTTTGTTTCCCAGCCCATGTGCTTGCATGGGGATCTCCTATAGCAAGGTGGCTAAGACCCTGGAACCAGGGGGCTAACATTTTTGTTTGAATACTGTGTCTACTATTGTTATGAGTTAAATGACTCCAACCAAGATAATTAGTCTCTCTAAGTCTCAGCAAATGGGAGTAACAACATGTAATAAGGATGTATGAAGACTATTGGCTTAGCATAGATTTAGCACATAGAAATGTTTAATGAATCAGACTTATTATTTTTCATGGTACTATCACTGGATAGATATCATTTTAGAGTCTACATTTTCCATTTAACGTTTAAATGTTAAACTTACTTAACATTTATTTTTAAAGAGGGACCAAATAGACCAGGAAGCCAAATCAGTTCATTTAATGTTCACATGAAAAAGATTTCATATGATATTTTCAATATTCCTAGGCCTATAACCAAACCAAACAAAACAAAACAAAAAAGCAAAAACAAACACACACACAAAAAACCTTCCGAGGCAGACCTGAAAGTTGAAGTAAATTGCATTCTGAAATTTTTGTGTGAATTATTTTGAAATCTGAATGCATTTTCCCCAAAAACCTTGTTTGTTTTTTTTTTTTTTAAAGATTTTATTTATTTATTTGACAGAAATCACAAGTAGGCAGAGAGGCAGGCATAGAGATAGGGGGAAGCAGGCTCCCTGCTGAGCAGAGAGCCCGATGCAGGGCCCGATGCAGGGCTCGATCCCAGGATCCTGGGATCATGACCTGAGCCGAAGGCAGAGGCTTTAACCCACTGAGCCACCCAGGGGCCCCTTCCCCAAAAACCATGTTAAAGGGATTATTAGATTGCCAGGTCAGCCCACAAAAGCCTATTAAACAGATGATTAAAAGGTTGCATGTGATTTTTTTAAACTTTTTCTTTCAGTGAGCACTGTGCACAATGCCTTCACCAGTGTCCTCATTCCACTGTCACAGCACTCCTATGACATACATGGGGCGAAAATGTTAGGCTCTATCTTCATTTTATAGCCAAGAAAGCAGAGTGAACTACAGAAGGTTAAGTGCTTTTTCAGTGAGAACTGGGAAAGAACCCACCGCTTGTGCCTGGGAGCTAGGCATTGGTATGCTTTACGTGCTCCGCATGATTTCAGTAAGCTGTGGGTGAAGAACCGGGAGTGTAGTGCTTTCTTTTGAAATGTCAATCACCTGGGGTTCCTGTTAAAAAACTCAGATTCCTTAGCCTCTTCTCTGGAGATTCTGATTCAGCTGATCTTGGGTGTAGCTCATAGACTCTATTTTTGATAATCATCCCAGGATATTCTTAAGATCAGGTATATCTGGGTTAAGAATGGGGTTTTAAATCAGACAGGTTTGGATTTTAATCAGGCTTAGGCCAACCTGTGTAACCATGAGCAAGTCATTTAATAGCTGTAATTCTCAGTTGCTTCATGTGTAGAATAGAATTAATCTCTCAGCCTGATCGTGAGGATTATACATGAAATGTACCCTGGTGCCTGGCACGAGACACTTTCTCTCTCTATACGTACCAGACAATGCTGATAGAATACGACACTGTTACCAACCTCTTTGTGGTAGGTGGGTCAAGCTCTGTGCTCCTAAGCCAAAGCAAACAAACACAGAGAAGTGTGTAGTCAAACCCACTTTCACTTGGTCCAGAAGGCAGTTTTCTGAAGCCAAGTTATCCTCTTAACCTCCTTTCTTTCCTTTGGAGGAGGACGGTCCAGGTCGTCTACAGTAGGCTCCGGTCTCCCCTCAATTCAGGTGATACCCCTGAGAGGAGCTGTCCTTCCCCAGATCAGGCAGAGCCACAGAGAAGCTGCCAGAGCCCCAGGTTAACAGCCAGCCCATCTCAGGTTTATTTTCAGGATAACCATCAGTTGCCTTGGAAAAGTAGGGAAAGGAGCTTTGTGGTGTTCATTAGGGAGGGGAGAAAAAGCTAAATTCTTGAGGGTAAAATAAAGTTTCGATGTAAAGATAACTCTATCTGTGCAGGCAGTGCACCCTAGCAGCCCTGTAGCTGATTGGGAGAAGTGTGACAACTCCAGACTCTTGAAAACACTTCTGTTAATTCTCACTATACTCTCATAAGACAGGGATTGATTTACAGATGAGGAAACTGAAGTCCAGATAGATTAGGGACCTTGTGCAGGGTAACCCAGGCACTGAGTGGAGCTGGGCTGCAGATCCAGACTCCTTGGCCTTGTTCTCAAACACTGATGCCAGCCGCCACGGGGGGCGGGGGACTGTTTCCCTGTTGGGGGAAGGGGTTTGTGTACTGGAGGGCAGGTCTGTGATGAACAAGACTTCAGAGTGTTATGAGTATCAGTAACGAGAAACTGAGAATTCCCAGCTCAACCAGCTCAGACACATTCCAGTGCTAACGCTTGGATGCCCCCACAAAAACCTTCACCAAAATAGCCAGCAGATGGTGGGGAATCTTGTTTTCCACAGTGCCTTTTGACCCAAATCTAGACTAGAACCACAGAGGAAGCTGGAGTAGCCTGCTGGAGGAGAGAGGCAGCCCCCACTTCTCGAGTCCTCCCTGGGGGGCCAGGTACTGAGCATGAGTGTAATGTGCATTCATTCTCTCAGCTCTTTAAACCCGTGAACAAACTCCTCACTTGCTGGAAGAAAGGAATGTGGAGGGAAAACATTTGGAATCCAGTCATGGAACAACCATTAACCAGCTTCATCGACTTGTCTAAATCACTTAATCTCTTTGGGTGTTCCCTCATTTGTAAGACAAGGGAACTGGAAAGAAATCCCTGGATGTTCTAAGATCTTGGATTTGGGTGCCGGCCCCGCCATCTGTTAGCACCGGCCTTTGGGCAAGCTACTTAAAATTCATGGGACCGCTAGGTTGCTGCAGAGCTCTCACACTAACAGAATGGGCTAGATCTCCTGTGTGCTTTAAAGCACAAATGGCAACTGATAAATGCAGTAGCACATGCTGTGCTGCGGTACTCTCGTGAGTGCTTCTCATGTAGTCAGTCATTTATTACACATGGTAGTCCATAAAACCCATTTTACAGAGGGTAAAACTGAGGCACAAAGATGTTAAGTAAGTCACTAAAGTCCCCACTAGTAAAACTGGGATTTGAAATCCTTATGATTACTTAGTTTGGATGATCAATTAGCCATTCCTTGGATTTTGCCAGAGCCGGAAATTAGCATAATGGAAATGAGTGTCCTGAAAAGTAGTTAATGCTGAGTGGCTTTTGGTAGTGCAAGGTAACCACCTGAATATGGACAGGGATGTGTCACAAATACAGACGAGACCACCTCAGAACTATCCGAAATCTCCATTTAATAAGGCTCAAAGATGAATTCCAGAGCATTTCCTTAAAGATGTTTTGTATCTCATGCCAGGGGAAAGATCAAGGAGAAACTGCTTTTAAGTTAGTTTGATGGTTTTTAAAACTTTCTCTATCCTGACAGAATAACTTCGATGATATATCACATTTTGGGATTTTTCAAGACAAAGAGCGAATTTAATTTGTCCTTTTTTTTTTTTTTACCCTGTGGCCAAAGAGTTTTTACTTTTGCCTTGACAATATCCTTTATCTTCCTACCTATAATTTCTTGGTTTTGAGAACTGAAAGAGTCCTGGAGTCCTCACATAAGACAAAGCAGCCAGATCTCACTGGTTAAGCTCTGAGTGAGATGTACCCTAACCTGTCCTCAAATCCATTCTGAGCTCAGGAATTCTAAGTGCCTGTCCTGGGTGGAGGAGGCCACTGGGAGTCAGGGAAGGGGGTACTCGGCCAGCAGGTGATGTGGGGCTTTGGATGCCAAAGCCAGCCCTGTTTTGAAGGTTCAAATACACGTGGTTGAGAGACCTCTGTATGGCATTACCATCTAGGTTAGAGACCTGTGCTGTGCCTGTAAAATCTCATTTACCCGTACACCATGTAGTCGGTGCTCTAGAAAGGGGACAATGGTCACAGATGTGATGCTTTCATTACCCGCTTCCTCAGCTGGCTGTTGTCCCGAAAAAATTGGTGGTCTGTGTATTTTCAGTCTTTGATGTAGTCAGTGGATCCCTGGCCACCTCTGTTTTGTTTAAAATTTTCTAATTCTGACATCTGTTCTTTTAGAAAGGATTGATTTGTTCTAATTAAGGGGCGAAAAAAAAGATGAGAAGGAATAAAGTCTCCATGTAACCAAGGGGCTTGTGTGCTGCTAACACTGTGGAGGTAATTTCTAAGATCTGCTTGATTTATTTTCTGATTTGCTGACTCCAGCCCAAGCCCACTGCTTCCTTGCCAGGCCTCTAAGCATGTATACAAATTGACACAAGCAGACATAAATCAGTTTTATTATGGGGTTGGTTGGCTCCATGTCCCATATCAGTCAGGCAAGAGAAGCTGAGTGATAAGGGGTTCTTGTTTGAGGCACTGAAAAGACCTGGCATAGGCTTTGTCAAGGCTGAAGAGTCAGGGAAGCCAATTGCAAAACCAAATTTCCTTCCATAGGATAAACTGTTGGCTTTTAGTGCACTTTTAAATCTTGTTCATTCTTCATATCCCTGGGCAACGCATGGCATCAGCACACAGACTCCTTGCAGTAAACTTTTGCAGAGAGAAATGTGGAATATGGATGGAGAAAGAAGAGAAGGGAAGGGAGGGAGGGAGAAATAAGGAAAGAAGCTAAACGTAAGTAAGGAATTATGAAGACAGAAGGAAAGAACTAGAGAGAAGAGGAACGGGGAGGGAGGGAAGGAGGAAAAGAAAGGAAGAAGATAAACAGAAGGAGGAAAATGAAGGATCTGGATGGAAAATGAGAGGAGAGAAGGGAGGGTAGAAGGTGTAAGGTGGGCCGGCCCTGGCGACAGCATCCCAAAAGGAGGTGTGAGAGTGAGCGCACACTCAAGGATATCTCCTGGTAAATATGGTTCACAGGGACTTCAACTTCACCCTTTTCCAACTTCTGTCCCACTAAAACTCTGCCTGCCCAGTGTAGCCCTTCATTAGTTCATGTCTGATTATCCAGTTATTCCCATAAATATTCTGGCATTTCCTCAGACTACAAACTTTTTGAGAGTATGTTCTTTCTCACATTGCTTTTGTGCTCTGGCCATCCCTGTTCCTCCCTGATCCCTAGGACATGCTGGGTTCACGAAAAGCAGGGAATTATCCCAGTGTTCACTGGGTCCCTGGTAACCTTGTCAGTTTTTCCTGCTGTGTGTGAGCAACTTCCTGTTTATTCTTTACGTAGCCAAGTACTGTTACCCCCAATGCTTCATTTATCATGTGTTTTCCAGAGGTGTTGTCATATCTAAAAAACACACTCATTATAGCCTAAACAATAGAAAACTCACTCATTCGTTAACATACTATGACAGGTGGCGATTTAGGAGAACACTGGAATATACTTAATACTGAAGACTTTTCAGAGTGGAGGGGGGAACCTTAAAAAACACCACCGAGAACGTTCTGTCTACCCTTACTGCCTAACTATAGTCTAGGAAGGAATGCTCTCCAGTTATGGCAATTTGGATCTCCTTGGAACTGACCAGATATTTTAATTTTGTGTTTCTAGAGGTATGCTCTTAGTACAACATGCAAATGGCTTGCTCCTCTGGTGGGAAATGTACACGCCTATGGCCCCCAAGCCCATCAGTGAACAGTGGTATCCTGTCAAAACAACAGGTCTTTGTAAATCCTCCAGTATCCACAGCCATATTATGTTGAATCTGGTTTTCAGAATCAAATCTACTTGGTGGGCGTGGGGAGGAGGCTATACTTATGTAGAGGGGATAGGCAGACACATTTAGGAGAACTTAAGTCTGAAAGAATACGTAAACTGGGGGGAAAGCAGAAGAATGCTTCCTCTTGACTGTAAGACAGGATATGCTCATCTGCTAACGCTCCACTAGATGTGACTTTCTTGCTACTCAGGGTCAGGGAGCGGACTTGAAGGGCTCCGGGCTGACCTGGGGGTTCTCTGTATTGATCAGAAACCATTTCAGGGTAGTGCTGCCTTTGAAGAGCTTACCTGCCTGCACTCAGGGCACAGTTTTTAACTCGGCAAAGTTTTAGGAAGCCATCTCCCCCCACCACCCTTCTCCCACCTTCCTCTGAGTGAATCTTTGTGATGTGGTCATAGGGTGACATTCTGCTATAAGAGGGCTAAGTGAATGCGAGTGGACGGTTTAGAAGAGGCTGAGAAGAGAAAAATACGCAAATATCATTATCAAGAGCAGGAATAATATTTAACTGGAAAATGGCCTATTACTGGGCTATACAGTTTTAGGAGCCATGTGCAGTTCACATGCCCATTATAATTTAAATTAATTCCTGGCTCTCCTTCCATTTCTAATCATTCTTATACTCATATGTGGCCTTTGGGGAAATCCTAATAAAATCAGTTCCATTACAGGCTGGATTGATTGAGCCTGCTTTCCTTGCTCTCGTCAGCACTGGAGTAGCCAGAACCTAAATGTTACTTTATAATTGTCATAATGGTGATGTTGTCCAGTGTCAAACCGGGTTGTTCTAATTGGAATTTTAAAAAACCCATCCGACTAGAATCAGCGAACCCTCCGTGTGTCGTTGAGGCTAAACTGAATCCATTGCCTTCATGCAACATTAACCAAAACTTAGTGGGGTCTTGGTGACCCCCAACTCCTTCTGATTAACCAGAGGCAGGTGCACCAGGCCGTTGCACTGGAAAGCCTCTGAGTCTGTGGGCTGGTGGTGGCTCCACGATTCTGAGCCTTCTGGCAGCTGATACAAGGACAAGGCCCTGGTGGGTACTTAAAGGGCAAACCTCTCATTATTTTGTTTTCTGCTTAAAGCCCTGAGGATATGGAATTCCAGTTTAGAGCAATAATTTGGTCTGTGGATTAGAAAGTCTAAATATCCCTTCAGCCTCACTGGGATAGAAAGAATATTTGGTCTAATTGCTGGCATCTAGGAGTTTTAGAGCACTTTTTCTATATAGTTTTTACTTCAGGCATAAGGAAACAATGTGACAGCTCTGCTGAACATTTCATTCAGGAGATGGAGGGCTGTGTGGGGAAGACCCTATGTATTTCCTCCACGAAGGAAATATTTTCCTCATTATCTCCTAAAATAAAAGTACCAGTCTGAGATAAAGTAGAATTCCCTTTAACTGAATTCCTTCCAGAAAGGCCAATCATCTAATGGTCAGAGACCAGGGGTGTGAATTCTTTCCTCAGAGACTACAGAGAGAGACCACACAAATTTTGCCTGAACAAATGGATGATGGACACTCTGTTCTGATGGTTAGAATAGAACAAGATAATTCATTATTTATCACCCCACCAGGTGATTTTACACCCCTCCCCCCGGCACACACGCACGCGCGCACACACACACACTCATGAACTCATGTATATACTAAAACAACAACTGCTTCCCGACAAAGGCTTCCCACTTGGGATTTCCAGGAGGGGAAGGAAAACAATGTCAACAAGGCAAGGGAAGGATAATAGCAACAATAGGAATAATTTCTTGAGGACTTATTCTATGCCAAGCCACTCTGGTGAAAGCAGTATTTCATTTAATCTTCCAGGCAAAGGGAGGGTTGATACTAAATGAAACTGGTGAGGGTAAAAAGCAAAGAAGCCCTTCAAGAATGCTTAATTTCAACGAAGTAAGACGGTATAGCTGACCCTCATTTTATCTGAATTAACATAAGCATTTTCTATCCCTCCCTGCCCATGAGATGGAAGGCCACAAAGAAGACAATAAGGTGTGTGTGAACTTTCAGAATCTTATAATCTTCTCACCCCCTTTCACTCTGTTTTGGTTTACCCTATTACAAGCTGTGAGAGATGAAAAGGGCATGAATCCCTGTGACTGAAAAATACTTTTTGTTCCAGATGATTCTCTCAGAGGGGAAGTATAAGACCCATTAGAAAGGTTAAGCAGTTGTGGGATCATGAATTGGTAAGATAATTTAACTCCAATTGAGAGCATAGTGTAGTCATTTAATTTATACTGGCCATTGAAGATTTAGAATGGCTTGTATGTGTGCGTAGTCAGGGTCACAGAACTGCGGGCCGGGGTCCTGGTCCTACACGTCCCATGCACTTTGTTGTACTCTGTGCAAGGGCTTATTTCCATTTTCCCTCCCAGCAGGACATTTAACAAGCGACTCAGTGGCTGCCTTCAATTCTCTGCTTCTCTGTCCATCCCCTTCCAAGGCTTTCCTCAGCAATGCTGCCTAATGACGTGACTTTATTTCAACAGGGCCCCCTCTCATTGTTCACTGGAATTTGATATAGAAATTGATATACACATTGAACCCTTTGTGTCTTTTCTCTTTTAGAACACAACTACTGCAGTGGGTTAGGAGCATAGCTAATTTGCAGATGAGGCCGACTGAGCCTCAGAGAAATGAAGAATGATGTCCTGACTCTGGGCGTCACCCTTGTGGGGGGCACCACTGAGAATAACTTTGTGGTCATTTTTTCCATTTAGAGAATAATGCTGAAAAACAACCATTAATACCGTTTTCTCGAGAGTCCTATCAGATCTTTATGTTATTTGAGGTGATTTTCCCTCTATCGTGGGGAGTCTTTACCACAGAATCCTGTGAGAATATGGTCTCAGGATAATGCCCCATTAGCCACCCTGACCTGATTTCTCCCTGTTTCGGGAACTTTCAGGCCAACCTGTAATTTTCAGTCCCTCATATGCTTTTCAGAGTAATTTGGCATCTGCAGAAAGTCCTTGTCATTTTAGATAACTGCTCTTCTTTCTATAAAGACAAAAGCAAGTGAAAAGAAGACAGCTATCTGCCCAAAACGGAGGTCCTTGTGGAAAAGTACTGATGAAACTCCAAATGCTCTTCTATCCCCAAGGCTGCTCCCATGGGCCCACCTGCAGCCAGCAATCAACATGCTAAACCTTAGCAGTGCGGGTCCCCCGGAGAAAGAGAATTTACCTTGGAGTCCAGCTGCTGCATGTATGACCAAAGGTACTCTATATTGGCTCCAAAAGGATGGACGTGAAGAAATGTTGATATGATGCCTGAATTAAAGAGAAAAACAATGGACATCACTGAAAGGTAAGTAAGAGTCGGAGTCAAATAATGTCGTCTAACCCCGTAATGGTTTCATCAGGCTGAGTTACGGTCTCACCACTGTAACAGCACTCAGCAAGCACTCAGTAACAGCCCGTAACGAAACAGTCCTAGAAACGTGGCGAACAGAACACTCTAGCTCCTGGAATGATAGTAGTTAGAAAAGCTAGGCTCAGAGATAATATATAGATGAATAAAGGTATTTGCTAAACAAAGACTCCTGGAAGTATTTCAACTACCAATTTTATGCTTGATTTACCAAAATAAAATTGTAGTTATTGGGAGGATAAAATTCTCTTTTCTTTCCCTCGGTGGACTTTGCAGTATGAAAATGGCTCATACAGCTGTGTCAGAGATTGCACGGCCTCCGATTTCGCTGATAATTACAGCTGCTAGTTACGAAAAGTATTTAATCCATATTTCCCCTAACTGCCACTGAAGGAAGCCCAGATCCTTTCTGAAGCCTTTATTCCCCCCCTGGTTGTTGCTGCTGTGTAAACAGAGCCAGCTCTCCCTCTCTCCTCCTCGCTGCTGTAATTTATAGGATCGTTTAAAAAGGCCCGGGAATGGATGGTTTGGCTGGAGTCTGATTCTAAATCAGAAGTCTTTTCAATTGTGAAAATCAGCTGTCAACATGGTACTGACAAATGAAAAGCGGGGTATTCGGTGTCAGGGCTGAAGTAAAAGCATTCCTGTTCTCTCCTTCCTGCTCCCATATCCAAAATCAAGACTCCATAGATTGTACGCTGCTGTTTGCTAGGAAACTGTGTTCAGACTGACATTTTTTAAGTTCTAAGTAGACTTAGAGATGAATTAAATCTGAGGATAAGCCCTCATGTTGTTTATTGGGCCACTTTGATGCTTGAGAGGCAGAGGTCAAGAGAAAGACCAGCACTTGTCTGACGTGCAGGCAGGACGAGCCCTCGAGGAGACGTCACTCTTGTGTGAGGTCTGGGAATTGCAGGGGGACCTTGGGTTGATCTGGGATGGGGTCTGTTGGCCTCCTGATCTCCTGTGTGATGCTTGGGATGCTCTGGGATGAGTGTCCGTTTTCAAGCAAAGCTCCCAGTTCAGCCTTTGTCTGAGGATAGAGAACCAGCACTCTCAAAGACCTGCCCTCAGAACACTGCTTCTGTGAGGTTTGTAGTGGTTAACAGAGAAATGAGGAAGATGGAAATAATTCATTATTTCTCCATTATGCCAAAACCTCAGTTTTTAGAGACTGACCCCATTTTTCTTGAGATATAAAGAACTACCATTTTATTCTGAGATTATGTTCTTCCTTTTTTTGCTAAAATGCCCTTTGATGAAATAATGGCCATGTAAAAGGTACTAATGGCAGTTTTAATATCTTTAAGTGGCGAATAGCTATTTTAATATACTTAAGTGGAACTGTTTTGTTCCCCTCCTACCACTTTATTTGTTAATTTATATTTTAATTTTACAGACCTGGCAACTACTTTCCTGTGTTTCTGAGGTTCTCAAATCCGGTGAGGTGGCACAGTAAGTGATTCTGTTACTAATGAGTTAAAATACAGAGGCTCATGAAGGACTTACTTAAAAAATAAGTTAGAGGTATTTAAACAATAACACGTATTTGCATTTATTAAGTGGGAGAGGGGGCAGAATTCTTTTTTTTTTATTTTTTATAAACATATATTTTTATCCCCAGGGGTACAGGTCTGTGAATCGCCAGGTTTACACACTTCACAGCACTCATCATAGCACATACCCTCCCCAATG